AACGGAGTGGTAGCGAGCGGCGTTGTGGGGAGTGGTGACGATGGTGACKATGGCTCCTTGGTGGGCGAGAAGGTTGGCGAGGTCCATCATGGGGATCATGTGGCCCTGAGCCATGAAGGGGAAGATAAGAAAGTGAGGGGAAGCCATTGCCGTGGCCATGTGAATTGGGAAAGATGATTTTGGGTTTTGTTTTATAAGAAAGAAACAGTGCTGAGGTAAGAGCGTACATCAGCTCTTTGGTTTTTCCACGAAACAACGTGTGAATAAGACATTTTTTTTCCTTTTTTTTCTTAAAGGATAATATAAATTGTACAAACTATATATATTCCGTGTTACTAAAGTTTTAAAATTAACATTTTTGTTCGTAAATTTATTTTTAAATGATCTCTCATTTTTTTTACTGTTAATTAATTAATATTAAAATGAAGTAACAAATTACAATTAAATTATTTAGTGTAGTTGTTGATATGACAAATTATATTAATTAAATAATATATGTGTAGGTGATGGTACTCTCTCTTTCCTCCCTCCTCTCTCATCTATTCCTCTCTCTCCTACCCTTTTTCCGCTTACCACCACCTGTTCGTTGGCCCTTCATACTAGACATATATCATTTAATTAATATAATTTGTCCAAAAATTGATAACTCATTTTATTTTTCATTTCTCTTATTTTTTATTTCAAATATTTAATAGCAATAAGTACCATTATTTATTTATTGATTTGTGAGTGTTCAGACCAGTTTAAGCGCCTCGACTAATTTCACATGACAAATGTCTAATCCTACTATATTTGGTTGCCTAAATAGTTCGTAAGACATTAAATTTTGGTAGGCGGTCACCATGGCTTGAATCCATCCCCTCTAAATTCTTTACTATTTATCGACAATAACAAAATTATACTATACGTTGCAAATATGTCTTTTTAAAGAGTGCGCTGGGACACTGGTGGCGTTTTCAAAGCTGGTCTTGAAGTTTCCAAATGTTTGGAATTTTGGAAAACATATGATTCGAATGGTTTTATTTTATTTAGTTAATTAATTAAGTTAATATTTAAATTCAGACACCCATAGATCTGCAAGTAAGTGTTTATATACACGTGTAAGCCAATAATAAAAATAACTGAAAACAATTAACCGTATATCTAATAGCGAGCCCACACACTTGCTCGCAGTTCACACCACTCCTATTGGTTCCGGATCTAAGTTCAACGGCCAAGGTGCAGCCACGTAGCCCAAAACCTTTTCCAACAAACATCACGTTGCTATGAAAGTTCAATAAGATTCTAACCAGCGATTGATCACATGTGAATTTGGACGAGCATAGTTTAGTGTTTTGACCTTTAATCTCACTTAATTAATATTTTAATGAAAATAAATACGTTTAGTATTAATTATTTTAGGTACGTAAGAATTATTATTATAAAGTATAAATTTATTATGAACTTCAATCATGTTATATGATTTATTGATAATACATATTATGTTTAACAAATAATTTTGATATTTTGAAGTGTCCACAGCGTAGAGCTCGATACAATGATTCCTACGAATTTTGAATATCACTCAAATCGAAACTAAAATGAAGAAGTTATGGTCAAAATAAATTGAAAGGAACAATACACGAGGTGGATGTGGATCAATCATAAGGTAACACGTGGTGAACTAGAAATTTCAGTTAGAAAAAAAAAGGAGAAAGAAAGTGAAAATAAAAGAAAAAGGAGGATAAGGAGTTGAAAAGAAAAAGAGAGAAAATTGAAAGAAAAAGAAAAGAGAAAAATATTTTAAAAAAATTGTGCAAAGGCGTTGACATGAAGAAAAAACAAAAAACTAGCCATTAGACAATCGTTGGAGAAGAAAATAAAGGTTAAAATACTATTTAATCCATATACTTTCAAGTCTCTCTCTTTTTGTGAGTTAGAGTTAGACGGAGGAAGAAGAAATGGGGATGGTAGGTAGGTTCGGATTGATCTGGAAATGGTCGAAGACCGCAATTTGAAGGGGTGAAGAAAAAATGTATTTAAAAAAAAAATCTTTAAAAAAAACTGACAAGTCATCAATTTGTTACTTATTTAACTGTGGGTTAACGATAGAGACCAAAATAACCTAAAAGTACGCTATTAAAATGAACATGGACCAAAATAAACCCAACTTGAAAGTAGAGTATTTTAACCAAAAATAATTATTTTATATATTTATTTTTTCAAATTCATCTCTACCCTTGATTCAAATTCCAAATTTTGATTTCAAATCAATTCCATATCATTCTCCCTCCCCTTTAAACATTATCATTCTCTCAAAATTTATAACAATTTTTCTCAAACAATTTCTTATATTATTCATCTCTCTCGACGCTTCAATTTATATTTCAATCTTGTGAGAAATTTCATTTTGAGAGATGTCTGATCTTGTAATTTTTATTTCTCTTGACTATTTCAGAGCTTTATTTAGTAAGAATTTTCTTACAAAACTCGCTTTTTAAATTTTCAATATCTTGTAAGGGTTGTTCTTGAGCTCGAAAAAGAGCATTGTAACAGTTTGATCATAAACTATGGAAAAGATCGGGTTTGTTCTTGCTCCCAGAAAAAGAATATTGTATCGGTTGACTCTAAGCCATTGAAAGAGTTAGGTTCTTGAATCAAATAACCAAGAGGCGCTGGGAGAGTGGAGTAGGCGGTTTTGCCGAACCATTATAAATTTTCGATGTTATTTTCTCTAAGTACTCTTTCCTATTTATTTTTTGCAATTAATTTTCTTTATCATTATTTACATGAAATTAATTGTTATAATTTGTTTATCGTGTTTATTGTGAATCTCTACATTAGAATTAATTATGATGCTTGAAATGTATTTATAACTAATTTGTGTTAAAATCATCAATTTATAAAAAGTTCACTTGTTTGTTTTAATTGCGTTTACTTTGTTAAAAAATTTATTAAAGTTTCATTTAGCCCTATTCACCCTCTCTAGGGTTGTCATACCGATCCAACAGATAAGATGTGCAAAAAGAAAGCAGACATTTCAATGTTCAAGTCAGTAAAGCGTGAGCTCAAGTAGGTTGTTCTCGAAGCAGAATTACGTACCTGAATGGGTGGAGGTGTTTCTTTTGTAGGCAATGGGAGGATAATATTCTCGTAACCGTTTCGACAGACAGTTATGGGTTATTGGACCATCAAGTTGGATATCGAGCCTAAGGTCGCTGTCCTCACGCAGTTAGAGGAGATGTAGGTGATTTTTCGATTGGTATGGTCTTAAAGTTCGATCTAGATGGTAGGTCAGTCTTCCCCCTTAAGCTAGTTAAACAGGCTTGACTCACCCAAATGAGTTAATTGGTCCCCATGCTGTGTTTTACTTTTCTCTCCAACACCACCTACGAATTTATTACCTCTGTACTTATTTTTCTTACCTTTTATTTTATTTAGTATTTAGTCATATATGTCAAAATTTCCCCTTGTATAAAGAGAGTGTTTTCCACCTAATGGGTAATAATATGTCTAAGGATGTTGCTGTAATATGACAAGGTTGTTCTTGAAAGAGAAAATTATGAAAACACTAATTAGAGTTTATAATATAAATTTGCTACTTCCCTTTGTCTATTGGTTTGAGCTAAAATCTTGGAGTATAGATATGTTACAGCCTACTACAAATTTGAGTTTCAATGTAGGATAAAAAAAAATACGGAGGTAACTATGTCGGACAAAAAAAACACGCAGGAAATAATGTCGGACAACGAACCCATGAGTAATCCGACGATTCTTCAAGGTGAGAAACAACCTCCGATGATTTTGAACGTTGAGGCACGATGAACGGACACCAACCAGATTTTCGAGTCTTTCATATTGCAAGTCCGATCTCAGTAGGAAATCTATTTTTTAATTTGATTAAAGTCTTCTGAACAGAATTATAGTCCTCTTAATCATCTCCAATACTTTTAATTTAAGTTTGAATTGCATTCTTCTTTGTGATGGTGATTTCAACTCATTCTTATTCTCAAGGCAAATTGAAAAAAAATAAAAAAAGAGTTTATAGCATGTTTACTTATTTATCATCTAGTTTTGAAGAATGACCAAATAATCATCAATAATAAAAAAATGTCTATTTTTATTTTTTCTTCCTTCATTCTAGCTTTTTTTTTCAACCTTGATATAAACTTGATAAGTGGACACAAAATTAACCAAATTTAATGATACATCACATCGATGGGGATGACTAGAGAGTAAGATGGTAAGGGAGACAAATCTTATTAGGCGATGCGATAAACAGACGAGGGAACAGTTAGCCGGGTTGACCCTCTACCCGCTCGAAGGCAACTATCCCTTTTCTTTGTATGCTTAACTACGACCCTTTGTTCTACCCAGTCGGGTACATACACAACCCTTGGGCTCAACGGTTAGGTTCGACTCTGGTCTCATCGGACACCCAATGAAAGGCTGACATTCAATTACGAAGCGGGCATATATATGAGATGAAGCACACCCGAAGACAAGGCTGTCTCGACTCTCATTAAATCATAGTTGGGTAAACTCGCACGGAGAGAGAGACCTATATGTTAAGTTTCTACATATTGCTTTTTGGTTTGAGGTGGAGTGCTTTATATCTTTATTCCTCGAWAAATATAGGTAGGATTCTCCAATTAAAAAAAAAATAATATATTAATTTTAAAATCATTTGAGGGAGGGTAATTTCGTACGGAAAAAAGTAAGTAGGAAAAAAGTAAGTAGTAGAGATCTTCCTATTTTTAAATAACTATTATTGAAAACTGAGAGGTGTTTGGTCTTTTTTAAAAATTGCATATTTTTAAATGGCTATATGGTTGAAATAAGGACACATTAGCTAATGGGCCTTGTCTATTTTGGCCATTAATTGTTTTGACTCTATTTATCCCTACAATCGTCTAATATCTCCTTACTTTGAAAAAAAAAAAAGAAAAAATATATAAATATATATATAGAGGTAAAATAACATTACATTATTATTTGTATATATTGAAATTAATAACATTACGTCATTATCTTAAAGCATTATGTTATTATTTTTATTAATATGTGAGCATGTTTGAAAATATTAAATTTTTGTTAATTGTTGGATCAAATTTGACTAATGGATAAATTAGGTTTCATGAGTAAAAGTAACATCCCAATAACATGTTCAATGATTTTTCAAATTTTAGCAACAAATTTTTAGGACTAATTGAGTATTTTTAATACATGGAAGAATTTTGAATGATGGAATATATTAAGCCATTAAAATTAAAGAAAGTTATGTCTATAAGTTTTGAAAGTTATTTCCCTCTCCCAAATAATTTAAATGTTTGTACTAAAAAATAATTAATTTTTAAAGGTTTAAATTTTCCGCCATTATAGTATACTAGAATTTCGAGCGACATATCACTGTGTCCACGGACTTTATGTATCATGGAGGGTGAATTTTCATCTTTTCCAAGAATAGTAAACATCCACAAAATATCCTTATTTCACATAATTTCAAACTCAAAGTAATCAAACCTTTTACAAAAATTATTTTTAGTGGTCTTATCCCACATGATATTTTACAAATATCACTTTTTAAAAAAGCATTTACAAATCTAGATTTTCTTAATTCTTTTGCTCCCAAATTGTCCTCGATAAGTGTTATTTTATTATATTTTAAAATGTATTTTTGTAAGGTTTGAGGTTTAGAAAAAGAGATTGTCATTAGGATTTAAGAAATTATGTCTCGTGGATCTGAGGCCTAGGAATTAGAGTTTTATTTTCTAAATAAAAAGGGAAGTCGAGATTATGAGGTCGACTCTCTCACCTGTACTTAAAAAAATATCTCTAATGGATTTAGAGTTTGGTATTTAGAATTTTATTTATTTATTAAAAATAAGAGGAATTAGGTAATAGAAATGAATTCTCATCATGGATGATACTTAACAAGTTGTAGCAATTGAATCAAATTGTGGGACTTACCTCAAATTTAGGAATCTCATAAGAGTTACTTTACTACTTTTTACTCTTTCTCTCCCTTTATTAATGAGATTCATAACTTTTTTAATTAATTATTTTATAATTTATTTATTTTTCATTTCTACCATTAATATTTTTTTATAATACAAATTTATACAACTTTTATTGGTGGGTATGATTTTATTATAAAATATAATAAATTTATACAATTTTTATTGGTGGGTGTGATTTCATTATAAAATATTATAAATTTATATTTAATTTATAATTTTTTTTACTTTGTTATTATTAATTAATATCAATAGATTTTTCAATAGAATTTAATGTTATTAAATATTAAAATAATAATATTTTATATTAAAGGATAGTTGTTCCAATAAAAAAGTATTTTAGTTGATGTAATTTTAGTTATTCATTATTATTATTAAATAAATTGTTATAATAAAAAATATTTACTATAATAAAATAAATTGAAATTTATTATTATTGTAATTAAAAAATATTAGCACAATATTGTATTTATAATTAGTTAGAAAGAATAAAGGGAAATAATAATAATTGTTATATATCTAATTTCGATTTCGATTCCCGACAATTTTAGTAAACAACGTCAAAGGAATTTCGATTCCGATTCCAAAAAATTTCTCGTAAACAATATCAAAGGAATAACATTTTCATTTCGATTCATTCCCATTCTCATTCCTCATAAGTAAACAGGGCTTAAGACCGTGTTTAAATGTGAATGAAGGATGTGAATCAATTTTTTTATTGGTGTTTACCAACATGCAGGAATGAGAATCAAACGGTGGACCCACATAAATTTTTCATTCTCATTCCTTAAAAAGATTCAATTCCTTTTATACACCCTAATCAATTTCATTCTTATTTCTTTTTCCATACACCCACACATTTATTGTAATTACTTTTCTACTTTTACCATTCATTTCTTATGTATTAATGAGACCTATAATTTTTTTAATTAATTGTTTTATACTTTTATTATTTCTTTTTTCATTTATATAACTAATAATTTTTATTTAATAAAAAGTTATACCACTTTTTTGATATGATTTAATTATAAAATATTATAAATTTATTTTTAATTTTTAATTTTTAAATTTTTAAATTTTTAAATTATTTAAATTTTTAAATTTTTAAATTATTTAAATTTTACTTTGTTATATTAATTAATATCAATAAATCTTTTAAAATACAATTCATTATTGTTAAATATTATAATAATATAATTTAATAATATTTTATATTAAATAATTACTTTTTTTGTTGATATAATTTTATTTTAATTATTCATTATTTATTAATATTAAATAAATTGTTATAATAAATAAAATATTTACTATCAATAATTTAGTAATAAAATAAATTATTATTGTAATTAAAAAGATATTAACAAACACTATATTTGTAATTAGCTAGAAATAAGAAAATGTGTATATTAGTAATTGTTATATATCCGATTCCGATTCCGATTCTGATTCCAATTCTGATTTCGATTTTAGACAGTTTTAGTAAACAACATCAAATGAATTCTAATTCCGATTCCAACAAATTTATGGTAAACAACATTAAAGAATAATATTTTAGTTCCGATTGATTTGATTTTCGATTCATACCCATTCCGATTCCGACTAAGTAAATATAGCCTAAATCATTTATGTTTAAAAATTAATTAATCAAACTCACGAGTCAAGGGCATATATACGAAAGCCCAGAGCCCAAGCTAGTGGGCTGAGAGAGGGGAAACAGGCTTTTACCTCCTCTCTCCGCACTTCATCTCCTCGCACTCTTTCAACTTCTATTCTCTATCCTTCAGTTTCCATCATAATTATTTTTATTAATTGCTTTATTTTTTATTCTTTAAAATTCATTATTTTATTTATGTATTTTAATTAAATTATATAATTTTTTTTTCAATCCTCTCTTTCCCTTCCATCTCTCACATAGATATAATTAATAATTTAAATACTAATGTAAAGGAAGAGTGAAGTCTCTATTTTAAAAAGATATTATTGGAAATGTTAATAAATTATCAATATCACATTATCGTTTAAAATGTTCTGCAACATAGAGATTGATATATTTTTACACCCACCTCAATGGTCGTATATATGCTTCTCATTAAGATATCTGTAATTAAAATAACTGAATATATATACATATATATATATATATATATATATATATTTATTTATTTATTTATTTATTTATTTATTTATTTATTCTATATGTATGAATTTCTTTTGTCAATGTAAACATTGATTAATAACTAATCAAATTTAATTAAAAATATATATAAACTAAATTATTTTAAGCTATTAATTATTTTATATTAACATTCAAAATTTTTAGGAAAAAAAGGAAAATAAGAAATAAAATATTAAAGATAAATAAAGTTAGTGAGTGACAAAAATTTTAGGAACGAAAAAAAATCTCAATTTTGAAAGTTATAATAAAGGCAAAATACACTTTCGATCCCTGAGATTTGAGCTATGTGTCCATTTGATCCCTATAGTTTCGAGAGATACACTTTTAGTCCCTGAAATTTGAGAAATAGTTTAAAATGGTCCCTGAGTTAGATTGACGTTAGTTGACTAACGAAAAAATGACATGGCATTGTTGATGTGTTCTATATGAGGTGTCACTTTTTTATGAATTTTATGTTATTATAGTGTTAGGTGGTTTGATTTTTTTATGGAAAATACTTAGCTCCTCACTAGTAATGAAGAATCTTGTCCACACGACCTTAAATATTTGACAAGAGAAAAATACAAAAACAAAAAGTATTTTTAGAAAATGATGAGTTGTCAAATATTAAATGATGGTGTGGACAAGATCCCTCCTTGCCACGCGAGGAGTCTAGCTATTTTTATTTTCCTTTTTTTTATTATGTCTCTCTCTTCATTCACTTCTTCTCCTTCCCCTTCGTCTTCCTTCATCTACCGTTTTCTTCGTTTCTCTCTCCTCCTTCACATTTTCTCCTCCCCTTCATCTTTCTTCATCTTCCATTTCTTTCTCCAGCAACCTTATTCTTCCCTGGCCAAGCGTGCCGTCGCCAACCACCAACATTAGTTGTCGTTTTGCTGTCGTCGTCGTCACTACCTACGGTCGCCGTCATTGCCCGCCGCTGAAGCCTCCATCTACGTTTCAGATCTGGAACGTCCAGATCTGAAACAAAACGTTTAGATTTAGAATGGTTTCTTTTCAGATTTGGTACTCTCCTCCTTCCCTCCCTTCTGTGACAAACCGCCGGTATCACCTCTAGTTCTGAAACGAAACGGTATAGAAACATGCAGATCTATGAAGTTTGAACCATTACGTTTCAGATATGAAGGCGGTGACCATGGCCGGCAGTAGTCAGCGGCGATCGGTGGTAATCGACGGTAGCCGGAGAAGAAGAAAGTTGTTGGAGAAGAAGAAGGAAGATGAACGGGAAGAGGACGAAGTGAAGGAATAGAGAAACGAACAAAACAAAAACAAAAAAAAAGTCATATAATAAAGAAAAAAAAGAAGAAAAACATTATAATAATATAAAATTCATAAAAAAAGTGACACCTCATATAAAAATTGACACATCAACCATGACATGTCATATTTTTCCGTTAGTCAACGATCAATCTAATTTAGGGACCCTTTTAAATTATTTTTCAAACTTCAGGAACTAAAACTATATTTTGCTTTTGAAATAATTACTTTTTGATAAAAAAACTACTCAATATTCAAAATCATTTTTTGGAATGTTGTCAAATATTTTATTTCAAAATGGAAGTGGCATGATGGAAAATAATTCTAACCATTAAAAATCAATGTCAAAACATGCGAAACGAGTCGCAAACTGTTCCCTTGAGTAATAAAATGTTGAATCTCTCTCTCGTGACCTCTTATCTCCCCGTCTCTATTAATCACTATTTCAGTTTTTCACTCATGTTCACAGTATCCGTACACCGTACCGTTAATATATATTACGGATATGTGCATTTGATATACTTACAATATGGGTGTGATATACCTCTGATAAAATCGATATATTTTGAAATACACAAAAGATTTTTGACTGACCACTCAAATTTCTCAATTTTTTTTTCTAAAAATCTAGAATGTTCCTAACAAATAAATATTACTTGGTTTGTAATATTTTTTAATAATCACTTTGAAATTTGTTTTTTGAAAAATTGAAGACAACATCTTTCATGAGTTAATATAAGATTTTGGGACGATAAGTAAATTCATGAGAGCTTTATATTAAAAATAAATAATATCATGCTCCAACTTATTATTTGACAGATGGTGTACTTTAGTAAAAAAGAGTTGGTCTCGTTAAAGGTGATGTGGTGGATGATAGTTTGTTTGTGAAATTGGCTTCTATAAGGAGAGAGATGGGTAAAGGTGGGGAAGGGGTTGTACTAAGCCGACTGCTTGACACTCTTTTGTGTTCCCACTCTCCTCATTTTGCACCGGACATTCATGAATGCAATACAAGTATTTGTAAACACGAATGTCATTTAATGTTTGATTCAAATCTAAAATCAAGTCATTAGTGAATTAAGCAACCATAAGCATGAAGTTCAGAATATTAACTCAACAATGGAAATAAACTAATTAGTAGAAAATACATGAAGCATATATATAGTTTTGGATACCTCGTACCGTAGAAACACCAAGGAAAAACCTAAAGAAACCAACCTCTTTCTTTTCTCTTGAATTTTTAGGCCTGGAAGCTGAAACCATGTTTGGATAATTACCGTTTCGAAGTCGGGAGCAATTAGGCTCTACATTTTATTATTAATTTTTATCTTTTAGATCTCCTTTAAGAAAACCTTTAAAGTGATAGATTTTCAGTTCAAGAAGGGATTGGAGATTCGAAAAATAAACTAGAAGTTACCTAACCTAGACACCATGTTTATTAATAGGTAACTAGAAATCTCCCAGTTTTGAGCAAATCATCAATGGCTCCCATTCTCACCACCTCTTGCATAAGAAACAACATCTTCAATCATCAGCGTGAGATTCCGGTGAGAACAGCCCCCTTCTTGCAGTGCTCTCTTGTTTTAAAGATACAATTCATTTATGCTTTTTACATTACTAGAATTTTTTTTGTCCACAAAACTTTTAATGGGACTTCTAACGACCAAATAATTTCACTGTCAAAAAGCACTTTTGGTGACAAAATCAATTTTAACTCTTTGTCAAATATGGATATTTTAGAGAATAGTGGCCAAATCACCCCAAAAAGTATAATACCTGTCACAATCAAAAATAATGTTTGAGAATAATTTTAGAATAAATGATTTTAGTAAAAGATATATAATGTAATTGATTTTGTGAAAGTGATTTTTATATAATTATTTTAACATTTGAAAAAAGTGATTTTCATATAATTAAAAATGATTCTTATATTTAAAGATTAAAGGGATAATTTGACCAAACTTTTTAGGGGGAGAAAAGTTAGAGATAAAAATATTTTAGACAAATAAATAAACTTAAAAAAGCTATAAGAACTAAAAATTCAGAGAGTTATTACAAAAATAAATCAAATTAAAGTTAAAATAATAACTCTTTTAAAAACTAATTTTCTATATTTTTTTTTTTGGTAAAGTAGTATTTTGGTAATATATTTTCGATTTTAGTTTATTTTAATCTCTATATTTTGAAAGTATTCGTTTTAGTTTTTCTACTTTCAACTTTTATTCATTTTAGTCCTTATTCTTTCAAAATGTTCATTTTAGTTCTGATACTTTTTAAAAGTGATCATTTTGATCCATTAGTTTTATTTTTAGACTCATTTTTCTATCACAATTTCAACTTCACACTAAAATCAATATATTTCTTAAAATTTAAATATTACTTTATACTCAAGAGTAATATTTCTTTTTCGGTCTTCTATGTTCACCCCTAGTTTTGTATCCATACCATTAATTACCTACCGAAAAGGGAGCCAAATTATATATATATATATATATATATATATATATATTTCTTTTTTTTTTAATTTAGAACGTCCTAACAAATAAATATTACTTGGTTTGTAATCATGTTTTAATAATCACTTTGAATTTGCTTTTTCGAAAAATTGGAGACAATATCTTCATCAGTTAATAAAAGATTTTTTGACTATTCCAAAAGTACATTCATGGCAACTTACACCAAAAAGAGATAATATCATGATGTTTCAACGCCTAGGATTTAAAACCCATGACTAGGGGTGAGTATAGAAGACTGAAAAAGCGATACGATCGATCAAAACCGATCGAACCGACGTCGGTCGGTCGGTTTAAAAGATGAATAGGTCGGTGTGTGAAAAACCGACAAGTCGGTCGGTCGGCTCTTCCAATATCAAAGGAACCGACCGACTTATTAAAGAAAAAAGAAAAAAATATAATAAAATTTCATTCCAGCCTTCCACGAGAGAGCTGCAAGAGAGGAATTAGAGAAAAAATGGTAATTGAGAGTAGATGGAATGAAAAAACAAAAGAAGGGGTAAGAGTTGACGAGAAGAAACGAGAGAAAGTGAGAAAGTGAGAAACTGAGAAAGAGGAGGTTGGAGAAAGAAAAAGAGAGGGAAAAAAGAGGGGGAAAAAGAGTTGAAAAGAAAGAGGGAATGGCTAATAAAATGCCACGTGGGTGAAAAATGTAAAAGAAAAAAAATGCTATTTCACATGATTCACGTGGATTATATAATTATATATAAATATTTACTTTTATTTGTTTATTATTATATTTTACTTTTTAACCCATTTTTCTTCTCGAACCTACGTGGCTCTTTTATTGTCATTCCTTCTTTTTCAATTTCTCTCTTTCTTATCTCATTTCTTCTTTTCATTCATGTTTTCTCTCTCCACCTATCTTCTYTTTCTTCCTCACCATTCTTCTTCTTCCTCTCTTCG